ACACTTTATGGCTTACTATTTAGCTATCTTACCATGACCGATGTAACATTGCATGTACATCATAAATTCCCAGTTTCTTTCCTGCTGTACATCGCAACCGAAAAAACTTGTCAAATTAACCAAATCATTACTGTAAACAGCTCCATGAATGGACCTATCTCCAACACTTCACCCAAAAAAATAACTCTTGCACGCCTTGCGTGCCTATGTTTTTTGTGACGTCGTCACTTTAGGACTCTATGGCCACTGCATTATAGCTCTATGAGACTGCTTCAAATATTAGCCCTCATTCCCCTAGAGAGTACCAAGAGTAAGCAAAAAACATTAGGATCAATATCGAATGTTTTTTGTTTCCTAAAAGATAAACTTAAGGTGGGAAGGGATGGTTCAATTGCCCTTCCTCTTTACCCTATACAATTCAAATTTTATATAATTACAAATTTGTCAGTACCAAAATTATAAACATCTGGATAAATTTCTGTAGGATCTATCTCTTTGCCACATTTGAGAGTAAACAAAATTTTATACTGTAGTTCCTTTTTGTCAAATTAAAATTTCTTTTCAAACTCAGTAACTAGCAGTTGTTTTGCCAGACACACATCGCGCGCGCGTTAGCGAGAGAGAAAATCCGGACCGCGCTAAGAACCAATCAGATTGCAGGATTCGTTACCGTGCCCTCTTCTGTACATGTAGGATTGAACAGTTTTGTGACAGAGCTCAGTCAAAAATTTTCTGGTATTTAAAAAGGGAAAATTCTTTCATGGCTAGACTTTTGTTTCGAGAAAATAGTCGGGATGTGCTGAGATGTTATACGACACACTAAGCGTAAAATACAAAAGACTTCAATAAAGTGACGAAATATTTGTAATAGTCTACATTTTTGAAAACCCATAATGAGCCTAAAACGGTTCGCAGCTCGACTTTCTGACTTGATAATTTGTCACTGGCAATTTTTCACTCGTTTTTAAAAACATTAAAAAATAAATCAAATCAAGCCAAAGAATTTTCTTCAGAGCGAAAGAATGAATCGACAATTTTTGTTTTTGTAGTGTCCATTTCTCGCCTAATCTTCTTCGGTACATCAAGTGCTGCAGTTTGGCAAGAAAACTTCTGAAGAACAAATGTTTACTTTACGACATATTCGCAGCTAAACTAAGTCTTGGTAAACTTTTAATTTCTGGGCGGAAAGGCGGGGACATAGTTTACACTTCAGCGCAGAACTTTTTGAACTCCGAGGAAAGCCTCAAATTTCGTCAACACGCCTGTGATTGGTTGTTTTTGGATTATCTCCAAGAACAGCCAATCACGGCCCGGAAATTCCGTCCCGCTGAAGAATGCACACTGAAGTTTATAATTCACACAGGTATCCGTAGATGTCTGGCATATCACGTATATCAAATATCGTGAAATTCCCCTCCATGCATGATCCGCCGTTCGCCTACCGAAGATTACGAGCATAACACGAGAGGGATCATGGAGGTGTGCTGTCATTACCGTGCGAAGAAACATTGGAGGAGTTTTTCATCTGTGCTAAGACTTCTAGCCCTGCTCCTGTTTGTCAGAGAGATTGATAGTCAATCTCCATGCTATAACGAGATCACTAAAGCTCCTCTCAGATGCATGCCTTCTTTCGGCAACGCTGCTTTTGGCAAAACGGTTATTTCTAACAACACTTGTGGGACGCCTCCGAGCGAGTTCTGCGTTCAAACCGGCGTCACTTCACCCACGAAGGAATGCGAAGTTTGCGATGCAACAGAGGATAGGTACAGCCATCCCGCGTCTTACATAACGGACATAAAAGATGATCAAAACAGAACCTGGTGGCAGTCAGAGACACTGCTTGACAACCCGGATAAACCCGTAACTCTTACCCTGGATCTTATGAAAAGCTTCGATGTGTCTTATATCAGAATTCGTTTTCGATCGCCAAGACCTGAGTCGATGGCAATTTACAAGCGAACCAGCACCGATCCGAACGGGCCGTGGATCCCATATCAATATTTCTCAGCTTCGTGTGAGAAAACTTACAAGGTGAAAAGTAATGACATTGCGATAACAAATCAGCAAGTATTGTGCTCGAACGAATTCAGCAGCATTTCGCCGCTAACTGGAGGCAATGTTGCGTTTACTACATTGCAAGGTCGGCCGGATAACCTCAATTTTGATAACAGTCCTGAATTGCAAGACTGGGTTACGGCGAGCTCGATCCGAATAGATTTGGATCGGATGAATACGTTTGGAGACGAAGTGTTTGGTGATTCCAACGTTTTGCGGAGTTACTACTTCGCTATTATAGATTTGACAATCGGAGGACGTTGTAAATGCAACGGGCACGCTGCGGAGTGCATGGAGAAACAAGATACTTTAGGACGACTTGAGCTGAGGTGTATATGTGACCACAGAACGATGGGAGTAGACTGTGAAAAATGCGAACCGCTTTACAATAATCGCCCATGGGCCAGGGCTACAGAGAATAGTGCCAACGAATGCATCAGTAAGTACATTATTTTCTGTATTCATGGACTTACTTCAGGTATATCCTTTTATTCTGCTCGCCAACCCTGTCAGCGCGAGACAAGTAAATTTGACGCTTATCTTGCGGTAAATCAAGCTGGGTTGGCCAATAGCCTGCAGCGCTGCAGATGACCTGCTTAATATAACCTCACTGCATTTTTAAAGAGTTAAAGTTCGCACCGTTTTATACTAGATTTCTTGAACCTTTTATTTTTTAGTCAAGCTCACGCATTATCTGTCCTTCACTCTCTGAAAACCACGAAACCACTCAAAGGTCCTGAAACAAATGTTCGATTTCTCAGACCGGAAGTCAACCTTCTCGAATATACATGGTTTCTGCGGCTTTTTTCGTGACGGGGTGGAGGTTTACAAAGAGCATTTGATCGCGCCGGAATGAAGGAATCCAGGTTTTCTTTTTGTGTATTTACGTTTGAACAGTCAAAATTCCTCCATAAATCAATTTGGTTTTCCATTTTCTCTGATACAATAATATATTGGCAATTTTTTTACAACCTCCGATGTGTATTACTGACACTAATTTATTACGCATCCACTTCAACTATACTTGAGATTCAAGGAAAAATGGCTGTTATCCGCCTGTGTATCCACACATCCACTTCAGAGTCTCGCTCTATGTGAACGCATGAATGGATAATTACATCCAGTGTTCTTAATTTCTTTGTGATTATGAACGAACAAATGGATTTATTGTGAT